GCAGCACCCCCGCCCCACGGCCCAGGCTCATTCCCAGGTAGCCGCTGCACCTCACTAGGGTTGTCGCCAGGGTGTTTGATTCCCCATGGTGGGCAGGAGAGTGGGAAGGGGCTTAGGGGATCTCTGGGGGCCCCAGCCCACGCTTGGCCGCTACAGGACTCTGCTCAGAGAGGTGTCCTGGGCCACCTGCCTGACCACTCTCAACAATAAGGGCGTTGACACCAAGGGATCTGAGTGCACAGGGACATTAAGTGGGACAGGGTGATGCTGGTGGAAGTGTCTCCCACAGGACATTTGGGGCAAACAAAGTAAGACACCCCAAGCCCGGCAGCGTGGGAGACTGGGCGGTGATGCCCCGTCTGCTGTCAGTGTTGCATCCGGAGCTTCCCCAGAGCTGACGACCGGCGTGGCCCCACTTTCCGGGAGGAAAAGGGCACCCAGGAAGCCCTCACCAGGGGCAGCGCTGTCTGGAGCCAAGGGCTACCTGGGAACTTGGCCTGGGCTGCTGTCTCCTCTGGTCCTGAGGTAGAATCAGGCCCCTGCAGTGCTCCAGACTGTCCCTGGCCCTGGGAGGTGGGTCTAGGGGTCAAGTCCTTCACCCAGAGGTGATGCCACCCCCAGGGGACACTGGGACATCCATGGCTGTCACGACTGGTAGAACTCCTGGCACAGGTCAGGACGCTGCCCAGCACCCACAGTGCCCAGGTCCCCACCCCTGCCCCCAAGAACCACCTGGTCCCCACATGCACAGTGCCCGAGGGACTCTGGTATCCTAGGTTGCCACAGCCAGACCACAGTCGGCCTCCGCGTAGGAGTCACAAGGCTGTCACTGGGATGTATCACATCCTGTTCCTGAAGAGCCTTAAAATATAAAAGCAGTAGGGACTCGTTTTTCAAGATGAGCAGGGCCTCGAAGGAGTTGGAATTTGGCCCAGAGCCTGCCGGACCTAGTGCTGTGTTCCTGGGGGAAGTCGAGGCTGAGGTGGGCTCTGGGGGGTCCTGTCCCAGTGCTGCCCGGTGCAGAGGAGTCCAGCCCCTCCCCCTGGAAGTCACTGGAGTCCCTGTGTCATGGAGTCGGGCAGGTCTCGCCCTGGCACTGTGGGCATCTGGAACATCTGTCGAGTGGGCATCCTGGGCCCCGCTGGTGCTGAGCAGCCTCCGGGCCTCCAAGAAGTCCAGGTCACTGGCTCCCTGTGCCCACAGCAGTGACATGTGTGCCTGCCCAGCTCTGCCAGCCTCCCCAGTGACCCAGGGAGACGACAGATGGGAGCCGCGCTTGTGCTGGCCTGGAGGATCCAGGGCAGTGGCCCTTGGCCGGGTCCTGTGCCTAACCCCAGACAGACCCACCTAGAGGGACCTACAGCTTGGGGCCATCCAGGTACGCAGTGACCTCTCCAGGCCTGGCTGCTCTGTCATGACGGGGTCACACAGTCCCCAAACAGAGCTCCTCAGTGGGCAGAGGGAGGCCCGGCAGCCCTCCGGCATGTCAGTGTGTGGTAGGGACCCCGCTGTACCTGTGCCCAGCTCAGTCACCAGCTGGTGCATTTCCACTCGGCGGCCTGGCTGTGTTGGCATTTGACCCCCTCGGTTGTGTGGACCCTCGTACCTTGTCACAGCTCCGTCACCTGATTTATCCCCCAGTGACATTGCATGGGGAACTTTCGGCCGTGCAGCCAAGGAGCGAGAACCTGGCTCAGCCCTGCTTTATCTGGTAGTGGGCTTTTGTTTGCTTGTCTTTGTGGCACTGGAGAATAAACCTGGGGCCTTCATGCTGTGCCACACCCCTAGCCCTTTTGATTGATTTAAAGTTTTTTTTGTGGGGGGGTCTGGCATCGAACTCGGGACCTTGTGCTTGCGAGGCAGGCAGCAGAACCACTGAGCTAAATCCCCAGCCCGATTGTTTTAAAGTTTGAAACAGTTTGCTAAGTCACTGAGTTATCCATGCTGGGCTTGAACTCAGCAATCCTCCTGCTTCAGCCTCCCAGAATGCTAGGATGCCTACCTGTGGTGGTAGTTTTTGAAAAAAACCAGTATGTTCACGTGACACAGAATTCAAAAAGTAGAAGTGACACAGAATTCAAGAAGTAAAAGTAACTGCCGGTAGCAGAGCGGCTTCCTTCCTCTTGGCCCTCCAAGCCCAGCCCTCTCCGGCTGCCTCTGTTGCCTGCTATGTCTGTAAACTGGATGTGTGGATTCCCTCCTGCAGGGCTTGTGCCTGGCGTCTCCCACCCAGACAGGCCGGCAGCAGACATCCCTTTGCACACCCGTACCCGATTTCTAGGGATAAATTCTTAGCGGGAGCGATCCGTCATCAAAGACAGGTGCTTTTACATTTTCAGAGCAGTCGCCAAGGCCTCTTTCTCAGAAGCCCAGATGCCTCTGCTCCTGCCAGCAGAGGCACTCGTGTCCCCACGCGGGGCCAGCAGGGTGGCACTCCAGGAGCCCCTTCCCCAGCCTGCGGGCCACAGGACGGGTATGCAGCGCCCTCCCGTCGGCCTCCTACCCAGGCCACTTGCTGTGTCCTAGAGCTGTCCCCTTTGCTGGTGCCATGGTTCCTGCACACGGTGCCGGGTCTTCAGATTACTCCAGCCACACGGCCCCTCTGCCTTCTTGCTTTTGCTGTGTCAGCTGGCCACGGCCACCTTTGAAAGTTGCTTCCTGGTAGTGCGTGCTGCTGCCCAAAGCTTAACCTGGTGATGCGGTGGATAGGACGTGGCCTCTTGTCACCCCGCCCATGGGTCTGCCACTCCCCTCCAGGGTGTGTGTGC